TAAGAATCTTGGTCTTGCCATGGCCAGCCTGGTAAGTCATTCAAAGAGACCTTGAAAATGCTGGGAATTGACAAGATGATAGCTCGACAACAAGCAGTACAAAAAGGACGAAGCAGCTAAGTTGTTCAGCAAAACAACATCCTTCAACATGACATATCATGGCCAAAGGATAGAACGAGTTGCAAACGTATATCTGTCATCGCATGGTGTCCCAGGCCGAGAACAGTTCGTCAGCCACCTCGAAACTTTCGTAGATGAGAAGACCAGCCCTCCATCAATTGAACGCCAAAAAGGCCCGGCAATGATCTACATAGCTGCAGGCGCATGGTATACCCATCCTCACTATGGAGGTATCAACTCTACCGTCCTTGATCCTTGGGATGATCGTTTCTCGGCATTTCAGGATCATCTGTCAAAAGTTGACAAATTCATCGGCGATAATACACGACATGAAGATTGGTTCAGGGCGCCGATGGATCCACGAGATGGTATTGGAAATCAGATCTTCTACGCACCGCCCGCTGGGCCGCGATACCTTGGTACTGATACCAAGATGGTCATCGACAGAGGTCGCCGAGCAGAAGAAGTCGTCGAGATGCAGGACTGGCTACTGGACAAGGAAGATGAGTTCAACATCCCATTCGTTTGGTCCATTGCCAACCTTGTCGAGGGCCAAGATAAGGTCTGGCGCGATCCCCTCCGCACTGGCTTTCACGTCAAGTTTCACGTCGCAGAGCTTCGAGCCAACATTCTTCTAAACATGCGATGTAATGCGAAGCTGGACCGCATGAAGCCGTATCCCTACTCACGGACGTGCTGCACTGACTACGGCGTCAAGCCACTTGTGCAACTTTCCGTTGTAGCACTTGGGATTGTGTACCTGGCGGCTTGCATCATATGCGAGGTCCTGGATATGTTCGCCGACCGGAGTGCTGACCAACCTCGCTTTAAGCTCTTCAACATGCAAGCAGGATGTCTCGTATTGGCACTTCTGATGTGCTACTACGCTGATCGCACACAGATGCTGGCAAAGGGGAGCAAGCTTTGGCAAATGAAAGACTTTGTCGCGCTTTGCATTGCTTGTATTGCAATCATGTTGGCTACGATTCGTCGCATCAAGTCGCCTGTTCAAGAGGACCTCTCAGTAGACATGCAGGAGTCAGACCAGCCATTCCTCTCACGGGATCAGACCGATGAGTGGAAAGGATGGATGCAGTTCTACATCCTTATCTATCATTGGACCGGTGCTCATGGCGGCTCTATTCACGTACTCATCCGTGTCTGCGTTGCGGCATATCTCTTCCAGACCGGCTACGGGCATACGCTGTACTTCCTGAACAAGAACGACCTCTCGTTCAATCGCGTCGCAACTACGTTACTGCGCCTCAATATCCTCAGCTGCTGTCTGGCGTACTTTATGGATACCGATTACATGTTCTACCATTTCCCGCCTTTGATGTCGTTCTGGTTCCTTGTCGTTTACGCGACAATGGCGATTAGACCAAGGTACAACAGCGATTTGCAGGTTATGCTGGCCAAGATCTGCATGTCCTGTCTCATTGTATCGATGATCTTCATGGGGACGTCTCTGACTCGTTGGGTCTTTGAGATTCTCAACACTGTCTTCAAGATCCAGTGGAGTTACAAGCAATGGTATCGCCGCGTTACGCTCGACATGCTCATCGTCTACGTTGGTATGCTGACAGCCGTTGCAAATCGGCACTTGAAGATGCCTGTTCAACTAGGGCTTCGTGTAACGCTTGCTCTGGTAGGCTTCTTCGCCACGATGCATTACTTCTATGCGACTTCAGATCTCCGTGTGGCAGAATACACGAAATGGCATCCGTATGTGTCTCTTGTACCAATACTGGGTTTTATCGCCGTGCGGAATGTCTCGGGACCTGTTCGCAATTATCACTCCAAAGCTATGGCTTGGCTAGGTCGTTGTTCTTTGGAGACCTACATTCTCCAGTTCCATATCCTCCTCGCGGCCGATACCGACGGTGTTCTTGTTGTAGATGGCCTGTTTGGCGATGGATCGCTCATGGGAGACCGATGGAGGACTTTGGTGATCATCCTGCCAATATTCCTATGGATCAGTAACGCGGTCGCTGGTTCAACAGGATACATCGTCAAGATGATTATGAATCAAGGCGCAGAAGATGAGAAACTCGGCGGGCTTTCTCTCTGGGCTTGGATACAGAAGATACCAGGCTTCTCTGGTCTCTCAATACCCAAAATCAGGGTTCTCTGCATTTTATTAGTCATGTGGTTGCTCAATCTGATGAGCCGAGGACATATGATCGCGGCAGTGTTTGATGGTGGACATTCAGTGGTTGAGGCACCAAAATTCCCACTGGAATTTCCTTACCCAGTAGCGAACAGGACTACGGGATGAAGGCTGTATCTATAGTTTGGGGTATTGATGGAGTTTTTACGGAGTTTACATATACATAGAATGCTGTCGCATGGCATTGTCGATTGAATAGAGCACTAGAGCACCTTGTTGTCACTAGAAGTCTCCCCTCGGTGCTGTAGATCCCGAGCTCGCCACATCTTGGCTCCGATAAGCACCCCGCGAGTTAGCGCAATCCCCCGCTATTCCTCGCCGATGAGTCAAGAAAGATTTTTTTATGCGCCCTCTAAGCAAATTCTTGACCTTTTAATTGAACCTTTCAATTGCACAACCTCCCGAAAACTGAGGTGCCAATTCGATTCAGTTCAACTCACGATGGCTACGTCAAGGTCTTATCCTACCCAGGCTCTTGAGCTCGAGACTCTCAGTCTCACTCACGAGGCCAGTGCAACGCCGAAGCAGCCAAACCCAGTTTTATCCACGACGGGGCGTCGGCTGGGATCGCATAACGACCATGCACACGAGTCTGATGAATTCACTGGCTCAGGTGATGAAGCCGCACCCCCGAGGGCCACTCTCGTTGTAGAGAAGTGGAACGAACCCATTGGCAATGCCTTTCGAGTCGGCGCTGTCTACTGGAGTCTTTTCGTCTCAGGCGCCAACGATGCTGCATACGGAGCTTTGATCCCTTATCTTGAGACCTACTACGAGCTCTCTTACCTTGTTGTCTCACTCATCTTCCTCTCGCCCTTTGTCGGATTCATCGTCTCAGCAGCGGTCAATAACTATCTTCACATGAACATCGGTCAGCGATGGATCGCCTTCATGTGCGGAGGATCTCACGCCTTGACATATCTTATCTTATCGCAGCATCCGCCTTATCCTGTTCTCGTTTTGGCATATGTCCTTGCAGGTCTTGGTAATGGCATTGGACTTGCTGCTTGGAACTCGTACATTGGCAATTTGGCGAGGTCTAACGAGTTGCTGGGTTTTATGCATGCGAGCTATGGACTTGGAGGTACTGTTAGCCCTCTCATCGCGACCAGCATGATTACCCAGGCGAACCTCGGCTGGTATGACTTTTACTATGTGCTTGTAAGTTTTTGGCATCAATTTTATCATACGAGATTGCTGATTATCATTAATAGCTGGGTATGGCTGTTCTAGAGACCGCAACTCTCACCTACTCCTTCTGGCCCAAGACAGCTCAGAAGTATCGCGAGACTGTCCACACTGAGAGCACTCGCAACGAGGGAACACGCGCTGCTCTCTTCGTCAAGCCACATGCTCGTGTCGTATGGCTCTGCGCTTTCTTCCTACTCGGCTACGTTGGTACCGAAGTCGCTCTCGGCGGCTGGGTCGTGCAATTCATGCTGCGTGTTCGTAATGCTGACCCTTTCGATGCTGGAATGACAGCCGTCGGTTTCTGGCTCGGCATCACCATCGGACGTCTGGTTTTGGGCATGGTGATTCCAAAGATTGGTGTCAAATTGTCACTCATGATCTTCATTCCTATCACCATGGGGCTGCAGCTCATCTTCTGGCTCGTCCCCCAATTCCACGTCTCAGCCGTGGCAGTTTCCTTGCAGGGCTTTTTCTTGGGGCCCATGTTTCCTTGTGTGATTGTCGCACTTACAATGCTTCTTCCGAGACATCTTCACGTCAGCGCAATTGGTTTCGCTGCTGCGTTTGGTGGAAGCGGCGCGGCTGTTCTGCCTTTTGCTGTTGGTGCGATTGCGCAAGCCAAGGGAGTACAGGTTCTTCAGCCAATTATTCTTGCCATTTTGGCTGTGCTTTTCATAATCTGGCTTGGACTACCTAAGATTGAGAAACGAAAGGATTAAGACGGCCAATACTGCTGAGAGATATGGTGTTTGCAGGACACTCAATATCCGAAATCGGTGCCGCTTTCAAGCACAGGGGGCTTCAAATTGGGCGAACGTTTCCATATACAATAATATAGGTAGTTGTATAAGACTCTCACGCTCTTCAGATTAAGAGGCCTGCTCTTCTTTCTCAAACGAGTCAACATGGCGAAGATTTATCCTCAAAGGTTGAATTTGGCGGCGTCATGAGGCTATGGGTTTAATTATACTAAGACACTTTATGTTATCGCACGGAGCCTTTATTGCGTACGTAGCTCGTATCAATACAGTTCCGATTCCGATGAGGTTACATGAACGAATGTTACTTCGTGAATCCTACGTTACCTCAGGTCGGACCTTGTCTTGTAGCTGCTTTCATTCGTTGAGAGCTAACAAGAAAGCAATAGACTTCTGCTTCAAGATAGGCACCAATCCCTGGTTATGATTAAGAGTTCACTCGGACGAGCTCAAACTTTTCTGTGGTTCAAACTATCAAGGTTCCGTGGTAAAATTAAATATTCGCACAAAAGCTTGACGCTAATTTAACTTCGTAAAGGATAATTCCAGGCTCTATAAGAAGACCTCTAGTTCCCTCTCTTTAAGTTCCGTTGCTCACTCTGTCAAGATCACCACTACCCGAAAAGCCTGTCCTTGTCTAACTGAAGAAATACCGGAAAATGGACTGCTTTTCTAAACTCCCTCCTGAGCTCAGGATCCAAATCTTCTCTCAGTTCTCTTCCACAACTACAATTTTTCGACTCATGCAAGCATCTCCAGCAATGTTTTCTCAGTACAATGTATCCAAGACAGACATAAGACGGCATTATGTCGTCAACCTACTCACCGGTGATCGACACGAAGACCTTCTACAAGACGCCTTGGGGCTGCTATATTTGGGTCCGGCCGACAATCGACCAGACAATCACGTCATGAAATACATCATCAGGCAGTGGAACTCAAAAGCGTTACCCAATCCTTTTGAGGGAAAGCATCAGGATACCATTGCCGAGCTTTATAAACTCTTCTCTTCCATAACTATGTTTGTTGAGGACTACATCAGCAAAGCCACTTCCTCAAACCCGCCTCAAGCCTACCTTTGTCTTCCTCAGATCGCCAACCCAAATAGAGGGCTTTATTACAAGGAACACAGCTTTAGTCCAAGACAGATCACCTTAGATGACTTGATGTCATCAGAACGTCATTTTCTTCTATGGGCATTTATTAAATACGAGATGCTCTGCAAGGTTCAAGGATCTAAAGCTGCGTCATCGATGGAATTTAACGAATATAGTGCTATTGCTAAGAAAGCAAGCCATGAACTCACTTCTTTCGAGAATGAAGCACTTGATTGCATTCGTGAGTATGTCGATGCTGTATATGGGGCTCTTTATACAGTTTCTACACGATGCTCAACCAGACATGCTTCCAGTGCTTTACCAGACAAGCCCACCAGCCAGATACGCCTGTTATACCCAGACAGTCTTTATTTCAGCGCATTTAAAGCCTGGGAGGATATGGACCTGCCATCAACATGTTTACCTGCAATGATAGGATTTGCTTATAAGTTCCCAGAACTCGGTTTCGATCTACTGAGAAATATAGTACTCTTTGCAAACGGGACACAGCCCGAGTATATGCGGAGTTGGTTTTATACCATACTTTCCCCTTTTGCGAGGTCGCAGCGTCTAACTTTTCGCCATTATCGCCTGACTTTCTGCAGCGGAATCTGGACAGGCCATCTTAATCATCAAGATGATTCGCCGAGATCTTTCTTAATGCGGAGACTATGTCCTACTCATCCACCCTTATCGATTACACAGTGCCAAATATTTAGACAACGAGCGTGGGTTTTTCTCGATGATACTCGAGTTTCCAGGATGGGCCTTAGCCACTTCCCTACAATCGAGGAGCTTGAAAATCAAAGAAGCGCTGCGTCTGGAACTGAAACCATGCTTGAGGAGGAGAGACAACGACTACGTCTTTTGCAACTTTGCCAGTATCGAAGAGAGGCGGGGATCGAAGAAACCCAAAGCGAAGGATGGGAATATTTGTTCAGCGCAAATGGTGAGGATTCCATTCCTCGCTTCTTTGATCCACCAGGCAATAGGGGTGTGACAACATTTTGGGAATACCTCTGAAGATACCTTGATTATGGAGGTGAGGTGCATAGATTGTGTTGAGGACATTGGGTTTATGCACTTCATGGCATTTTTCAGAATGGCATAGCCGTTAAGGCTTAAGTTTCCTTTCATGGTTTCATGGTTTCACGTCAGACTCTATTGATAGAGACGCCACCGTTTTATGGATGTTTTCCAGTACATGTTCATGACGAATATTAGACATGTTACCTTGTTCATGAACTATATAGCGTTTCAACCTGACAATCATGCGTCATGCAGATATTTTTTACTGTTACCATCAATATGTAGTCGCTTCTGATAAAACTTGAGTTACAGCTTCTAAGTATTATGATACACACCAAAACAATGTATTCAATGTTCTAGCCTTGAGATGCCTAAGAAAACATGCAGCTAAACAGCCAAGTGTTAAGTAAAAGTGTTTATAAAGATAAGGCCTCAAAACGGAGTCCTCGAGGAGTGAAACGAAGAAAGATAATATGTAACCCGGCCAATCTATAACCCCCAGCTATCACCCTATCTTTGCATAGGTCAACTGCATGGGTAGTTGGCCGACTTGGATTTTCCATTAGTGAAGGAGAACCAATTCGAAAAGGCCTCGGATGCAGTGCAGACTGGCAACATAACAACTCCTGGGGCTGTGACGTTGTACTCGGAGACTAGATCCATACCGTCAACTGTGTTGGAAGGATCAAGCATAGACCAGCCATTGGCATTCCCATTACCGACAAAGCTGTTTACGGCTCTGTTACCAAGTATCAGCGATTGTTTCAACATAATCTAAAGGCTTGGGATATGGGTTCCACTTACCCGTTGACAATATCTTCCTTGGTCAAACCACCAAACGCTGTTTCTGATCCAGTCAGATCAGCGAGTCCTGGCAGACTACTGAAGAAATTGTCGGTACATCCAGGATTGAAGCTTCCATGGGACTCGTCGCAGGTTCGAGCTTCACCTGTACATCCGATCAAGTAGTACATCTTAGAACCAACACAGACACCAGATGAATCGTAGTTCTTGGAGCTCATATGCTTCACATTGGGCTTGTCTCCGCAGCCTTGCTCGGAGTCGATGACACTGGAAGCTTGGTTAGTAAATGGACATAATACTTTAGAGTTACAACGTACACTGGGCCAAGCTCGGAAGATGACAGCTGCCAAGCGAGTGGGACCAGTTCCGCGAAGAGCGCCTTTGAGACAAGTGCTTGAATCGCATCGACACCAAGGTCTTGATGCTTCGTTTCGAGCATCTGGCCGTCAGCAATAGCGGTGAAGAGTAGATCAGTATTTTCCTTGGAACCATTGAAAAGCTGCTCGTTCATAGAGACGATCTCGGCTTGCCAGATTGTAACAATGGCTGTCGAACAGTGGGTTGTTAGTGAAGTACAAGGAGGAACACATGAACTGCATACCGTTGAGCCTAGTCGAGATGGAGTTCTCGGCACTGAGGGCGCTGTCACTGCAAGGCTTTAGTCAATGTGCCTTTGAAGCGCTGCGAATCGGTGAAGTCATTTACTCTTTCAGGGTGTCTTTCGCAATAGTAATGCTGTTTGTTACCATCGGGTTCACCCAATCCTTGACAGTAGCCAATGTGTTAGGATTGGCTTTGAAGTAGGGCATGCCCTTCAGAGCTAAATCTGATTAGCTCAATAGTGCCACTCGTGTAATCGACCAGTACTAACCTGAATTCCACATCGGGGACACCGCGAGGGAAAACCCAAGACCAATGATGTCAAGAAGGAGCTTGACTGAGAAATCGCTTGACTTGATAGGCGCAAAGGTGCTAGAGAGCTCTCCAACTTGAGCATTGATGTCGTTCTGAGCCCTATCAAGCGCGTCCCAGAAGTTGAAGTGAACCTACAGAGTCATCAGCTCAAGTTCTCATAGTTTTGACGACTAATGAAGTGTCCATACGCGGTAGATGGACTCCATGGAGTTGATGGCAAAATAGGCTCCCGGATACGTGACGTCGTCACATTGTACGACATTAGAGCCGCAGGGGTTGTCGTTCTCGATGGTACCGCAGTCAATACCCTCTGGACCGTGGAAAAGGTTGCTGAACTATCAAAGAGTGTTAGTCGTATATCCTGGTCGGGTCCCGATGGAGACTGCGAACCTGCTCTGTAAAGTTTAAGCCGCCAGGGAACGGATTAGCATTCCACTGATCAACACCCCAATTCCATGCCTGGTCTGCATACACAGAGTCCCAACGAAACTTTGCATCTTTTGAAGCATCAGTAACTCCAGGGTTAGTACAAGTAACATGAGTGAAGTCATCGCCCGCTGCGTTGTTACCGCCGTCACCACTGGCATGACAAGTGCCGTAGTCGCAAGCGCTGTGATCCATACCGGGCCATTGAGTGCAAACGGGATCGGCGTTACCCTTCTTGAACGGCAGAACCTGGTAGTTTCCATTGTAGATGTAGTTGGGACAGCCATCACTAACACACATTCCACCGGTCGCTGAATAAATGACATTGCCACTGGGGTCCTTGACTGTGATCCGTTGAGCGCCGGTTTGAACCTCTCCAGCGCCATAACCGTAGTTCATACCAGGATTCAGAGGGGCTGTGTGCTCGGTGGTTCCAGAAACGGTTACCTTGTACCCGGGTCCGTACGAAGGATTGAGGACGATAGCGTAGTAGAGATAGTTGACATCATCATCCCATCCGTCGGGTTTGTTGTAATAAGCATCGTTGCCCTCATATGGACATTTCACATCCGAAAGCTCGGTTCTATACCACGCAGCACCGACCAGAATATCGCCGTTCATTGGTGTCATCTGGGAGGCTGATTGACCAGTCTTGTAAGCGTTGACGAAAGACGAGACCAGAGGCTGCCAGCCTGTATGATCCCAAGTCTCCTGGTTGGCATAGAAGTATGGTTGAGTGTCATTATTCTGCTCAGTCCAGAGGTTTCCAATATAATGCGCTTCGGGGCCATCGTTCCACGTCTGAAATTGAACATAGTCGGGCTGGGGATCCATGTTGAGGATGTTGACCATTCGCTTCGGTAGGTTCAGGTCTCCTTGTCGATAAACATGCGCCCCATAAGCATTCTTGTACTGTAGTGGACTAAGACCCATCATGTACAGCTTGTCGTGTTTGTGAGCACCAGCAAGAACAGGAACATCGATTGATACGTCTCCTGCGTACTTACCGCCGAAGCCTTTGCGTTCTGGCCAGGCAGACTCCCAACTGAAGATGCCGTCGACGATGGGGCCCCAGTATGACCACCATCCATCAGCTGAATCATAGTAGCCGTCAGTTTCATCAAAGTCGGGCATGAAGAACATATCGTTTGCGAGTCCTTTCTTCCAGTTGATCCAAGTATCGTTGTGAAAACCACCAGAAGAGAACGTGCTGATGAGAGGACGGCCTTTGATCTGATAGTATGCTGAACTTCCTTTATAGGAGTTCCAGATCCACTGGTAGTCAGATGGGCCATTGCACTGGAGCTGTTAGTTATTGTCAACGACAGTGCAGAAAAGTCGGTTCACATACCGACTTGCCACCATGGTAGCAGGCGTCACCAGAAGCATAGACATCCATGGAAATGTATAGCTTGAAACCGACGGACTCAGCATATGGAAAGAGGTAGCTGAGAGCTTGGGAGACATATTCGCGAGTAGCGTCACCAATATTCAAGGCGAAGCCGTCTAAGCCCATAGACTTGGCATTGTCGATGTCTTTATGTGCGTGCTCCTGGGTTACAGTTCCGACCTAGATAAGACATAATACTTAGTAATATGACACAACAAGAGGATGAGTTGAAAGGGAACTGACCATGTAATGAGCAAATACTGCTTTGGCATTAGCGACTCTAGCGAGAGCGCTAGAGATGGCCAACAAGCTGGCTAGTCCCTTCATTATGAACACGAGGAGAGCAAGTTCGAACGCAGGTTTGAAATGTAGATACAAGCGACATACTAGTCTCCTACATCGACTATTTATGCCCAACTACTTCTTGTTGACCTCTTGCGATGTCTGATGCGACTTACAAGTAAATGGGCCGAATAATGTAACATTGAGACTATCGGAAATGGCGGAGTCTGTTAAAGCCGATGCATGTGTTCCTGCAGGGGCTGTCATGATACCTCGCCATTACCCAACGCGGCATTTCAAATAGACTCACCTGTATGCTTCATTCAGTTAAGCTTTCGGTTAAGTGCTGAAGAGGTTGCTCGGTGGGCGAAGGATTGCTCTACCCTCAGAAGCGTATAGCTTCAAACGCTATGGTGCCATTGAAAGTGCCCACCACGGTTATCTCGGCAGTCTAAGCGAGAGAAGGCCTGTCATTCAAGGAAGGTGACATTTCAAATCCTTCAGATTAGATGAATCCTTTGATAGCCAGTGATAGGGTAAAAAAGTTGTCTTCTTATGATTCGCATCCAATGGGACGCGGTAGGTAATGCCGAGATTCTAGGGTCATTTGGCGAATAGAGAGTATCACGGTGCATTTGCAGGTCGCAGAACTTAAATGTCCAATGAAAAAACTCCCCCCTAAGATTTAAGTCTATCACAAAGTCCAGCACTTGACATAACAGAAACACGATATCATAAACAGACTACACGGAACCAAAAGCCAATCTCAAGCCCGAAATCAGTTCTATCTATTACATCGTGTGCACCTCGGGAATGGCTGTCCAGCGAGTACCGTACCTACTCTTGCTACGCCAATGGGCTCCAAACCAATAAAGAGCAAAAGGAAATGATGTCATGACACCAGAGATAATGCCAAAGAGGCTGAAGGTCCAGGCTCCGCCCAGGTTGGTAAGCATGTCGAGGATGAAAACTGGTACAATGCCTGCGCAGGCCAATCGAAAGCATGCCGCCGTGGTGAGTGCAGATAGAGTTCCAGCTGGTGGATATGCGTCAAACAGGTATGAAATGAACGAGATGAGGACCATAGCATTTCCCCATACATATACCGCGGTGCCAGAAATTGGAGCAAGGTAGTGGATGCTAGGGGTTGCGGTAAACGCAACCCAGAACAGAGAAC